TATATATAAAATTTTATTAAAATTATAACCAATGATACTAAAAAAAGATACACAAAACTAAAGTGGTTTCTTCCTTCTTCCCCTCTTTGTGGCCAGAAGGACCATGACAATTCATTCATTGAATACAGAGAAAGAGAACATTCCCAATCTAGGTTTTAAATTTTCCAAGATTTCTACACATAAAATATAAGGACATAAATATATGGACTTTTAAAGTATAACATGGTAGGAATATGCAAACTATACACTATCAACTCTATGCCATCTGGACATGTGGTCCAGTATCTTGAATATAGTCAGTGCTCAATATTTACTGAATGACTGAGTGAATGAATATAGGCTAAGTTGTTCCCATAAATTGGGGTTGGAGGGGGTATGATTTTCAAGGAACATTTTCATTTACATTTAGCTTCCAAATATAACACATTGCACACAACATCTAAAATATGAAACATGAAATTTGGAAATTATTGAAATTTCACCAATATTACAGAGATAAGAATTTCTGTGACTGGTACAAACTATCACTGATATAATGTTGAGTTTTAGATTTGATTTTTCCCTATAGATCATTTCAGGCTTGCACATTCTATGTCATTAGCTTCTGAGGTTAGGGATTATTTATATGTATGTTTTATCACGTAGTACATAATAAAATTTGTAATTGAAGTATATGATACAAATTAAATTATACTTTTTTATTATAAATTACCAATTGAAAGCTGTCAAAGAATTCATTGTTGTTACTTTTATTAAATTGGGGATCTTACCAACTAACTATCAAACTAAATGACACTGAGAGGGCATACATCCAAATGTGAAATATCTAGTTAATGGATGATTGAAATTAGGTTTTAAATATGGACCATTGATGATGATGTTATTATTGATATTTTAGTTTTAACTTAACACAGAACTTAGTGTCAAATAGATAAGCTTTAATTTTCCATGTGATAGTAAATAGTGAGTAAAAATATCAGAGACACATACCTTGAAGAGAACATGACGTGGTGTGCATGATCCCGGTTATAAGGCACAGAAGTACATCTTTCTTGGACCTTAAAAACACAATGCAATACTTTGATAGAATTCTCCATCATAAATACTTTTGAGTTTAACTTATGGAAAAATACCTTTCTTCATATAGAGATATTTTCTTAAAAATCCAACTTATAAAATCCAATTTTTATAAATAGATTGTATTTTCAAAATTATTTATAACATTAGAACTGCTTAACCATAATTTCTGATGATAGCTCCAAATCCTATATAATAAAAGGCTAACATGAAAATACACTGAACGGCGGAACAACCGAACAACCAAACAATTGAACAACCAGTCACTATGACATGCGTTTCCCACCAGGGGGCAGGTGCAGAACATAGCAGGCATTGGCTGCGGTGGGATGGCAGAGCAGGTGAGCGGGGGCGCCAGACCAAGGCGGGGCACCGGTCTCTGTCATTGGGGTGAGCCTCTGGTGGTTACTGAAAATTCTTTACTCCTGTGCACCACAGTTCCACCCGGCACTTGCACCTGCTGCCGGTGCCAGCCCTGCTCACACCCACTGCTTGTGCTGGAGCTGCCGCTCACACTGGCTGCCAGCCCCCGGTGCCCAGCACTGGTCCCGATTGCTCAGCTCTGTCAGTGGGTGCAAACAGTGGCTGCTGATCCGATCACCCCTCAGGGCTTCTCCACTCCCCCTGCTCCTGAGGGGCAATCAGGGCTGGCAGCCACCTCTCGCACCCACTGCCAGTGACGGTCCCACTCACACCCGCTGCCAGCACCAGAGCCGCCACTCGCACCAGTTGCCAGCACCTGGCATCAGTCCGGATATCTCAGCACTGTCAGTAGGTGCAAGTGGAGGCTGCCAGCCCTGATCACCCCTGAGGGCTTCTCCACCTCCCCCTGCTCCTGAAGGGCGATAGGGACAGCAGGCAATGCTCACACCTGCTGATGGCAACAGCCTCACTTGCACCTGTTGCTGGTGCTGGTCCCAATCGCACCATGCTGTCAGAGTCAGTGGGTGTGAGCAGGGCCAGGGCCGTCAGTGAGTGGGAGAGGCGGCAGCGGAAGTGGGGCTGCAGGCAGACAGGGGACTGGGGGCTGTGGTGGGAGGGGCCGGGCAGGGGTGCGGAGGATGGGCTGAGACCTGCCCCTGTGCCCACCTCAGCCTCGTGGCCCACAGTTCCTTTCAAGATGCATAGATTCGTGCACTGGGCCCCTAGTAAGTTTTATAAATTCTTTGGTTTATCTCTCCTTGTTCCCCCACCATCAAGATATGTCAGTCTGTCTCATGCCTCCATGCTTCAGGTTTTATTTTGTTGGTCAATTCATCTTGTTCATTAGATTCCATATATAAGTGAGATCATGTGATATTTATTTGTTCTCCTCAGTTTGGCTTATTTCATTTAGTATAATAGTCTCCAGATCCAGACATGCTGTCCCAAAAGGTAAGAGATCCGTTTTTTATAGATGCATAGTATCCCACTGTGTAAATGTCCTAAAGTTTTTTTTATCTATTCATCTACTAATAGGCATTTGGGCTATTTTGAAATCTTAGCTATTGTAAATAACACTGCTATGAACATGGGGGTGCATATACCAGGTATTCTTTCTGATTGGTGTTTTGGGTTTTTAGGACATATTCCCAGAAGTGGGATTGCTGGGTCAAATGGCAGTTTCATTTTTCAGTTTTTGAGGAAACTCTATATTGCTTTCCATAATGGCTGCACTAGTCTGCATTCCCACCAGCCGTGTAATAGTGTTCCCTTTTCTCCACAGCCTCATCAGTGCTTGTTGTTTATTAATTTATTGATGACAGCCATTCTGATAGGTGTGTAGTAGTGATATCTCATTGTGGTTTTAATTTCTATTTCTCTGATGATTAGTGGCTTTGAGCATTTTTCCATATGTCTCTTGGCTATTTGTATGCCCTCTTTGGAGAAGTGTCTATTCAGGTTCCCTGCCCATTTTTTAATTGGATTTTTTGTCTTCCTTTTGCTGAGTTGTATGAGTATTTTGTATATTTTGGAGATTAATCCCTTACCAGATATATCATTGGTTCTCCCTTACAGTGGGCTCCCTTTTCATTTTGATGGTGGTTTCTTTTGTGGTGCAGAAATTTTTATTTTGATGTAGTCCCATTTATTTATTTTTTTTCCTTTTTTTATCTTGCCCAAGGAGATGTATCAGCAAATATTCTGCTACGTGAGATATCTGAGATTTTACTGCCTATGTTTTGTTCTAGAATTTTTTTGGTTTCCTGGCTTAAATTTAAGTCTTTTATCCATTTTGAGTTTATTATTATGTCTGGTGTAAGTTGGTGGTCTAGTTTAATCTTTTTGCATGTATCTGTCCAATTTTCCCAATACCATTTGTTGAAAAGACTGTCTTTACTCCATTGTATGTTCTTGCCTCCTTTGCCAAATATTAACTGGCCATAATGGTGTGGGTCAATTTCTGGGGTCTCTCTTCTGTTCCATTGATCTACAAGCTTATTCTTGTGCCAGTACCAGGCTATTTTGATTACAATGGCTTCTTATTATAGTTTGATATCCAGTATTGTAATACCTCCAACTTTGTTCTTCTGTCTCAAGATTGCTGAAGCTATTCAGGGTCTTTTATTATTCCAAATACATTTTTGGAGTATTTGTCCTAGTTCTGTGAAGTATGCTACTGGTAGTTTAATAGGGATTGCATTGAATCTATAGATTGTTTTGGGTAGTATGGACATTTTAATGATGTTAGTTCTTTCAATCCATGAACATGGTATATGCTTCCATTTGTTTGTATCATCCTTTGTTTCTTTTTTCAATTTGCTATAGTTTTCCAAGTACATGTATTTTACCTCCTTGGCTGAGTTTATTCCTAGGTATCTTATTTTGTTGTTGTTGCAATGGTAAATGGGGTTGTCTGTTTAGTTTCTCATTCTGAGAATTCATTGTTGGTGTATAAAAGTGCATTCAATTTCAAAATGCTGATTTTGTATCCTGCCACCTTGTTGAATTCATTTATTAAGTCTAGTAGTTTCCTGGTAGATTCTTTAGGGTTTTCTACATACATTATCATGTCATCTGCAAATAATGACAGGTTTACTTCCTCCTTTCCAATTTGGATACCCTTTATTTCTTCTTCTTGATTGATTGCTATGGTTAGGACTTCCATTACTATGTTGAATAAGAGTGGTGAAAGCAGACATCCTTGTGTTGCTCCTGTTCCTAAGGGAAATTCTTTTAGTTTTTGCCCATTGAGTATTATGTTGGCTGTAGGTTTGTCATATATGGCCTCTATTTCCACTTTGCTGAGAGTTTTTATTTAAAAAAAATGTGCTTGATTTTGTTGAATGCTTTTTCTGCATCTATTGATATGATCATGTGATTTTTATCTTTCACTTTGTTTATGTGATGCATCACATTTATTGATTTGTGAATATTGTACCAGCCTTGCATCCCCAGAATAAATCCTACTTGATTATGATGTATGATCTTTTTAATATATTGCTGGATCTGATTTGCTAATATTTTGTTGGGGATTTTAGCATCTGTGTTCATCAGGGATATTGGCCTGTAATTTTCTTCCTTTGTAGTGTCTTTATTTAATTTAGTTTTATATCACTGGGTTTATACTCAAAATAGTTTTTAGCTACCCCAAAAATAGTTTGTTTTGACATTCAACAAGGAAGTCAGACTAGATTCTTTAGAAAGGAAAATTCAAGTGTTACAATGTGAAAAAATCTGGCATTTTCATGCTGATAAAAATCATTCTATAGTTTCTAGAAACTGTCCTAACCTTACTAAACTATTTTTTTCTCTGTGTACTAACTTACCAAGTTTGTCTTCACTACCACAGACAGATAGATAGGAAATAAAAAAAATGTCAGTTGTTCATATGTTTTGCTAATGAGTTTTTCCAAATACAACCACATATCTGGCAGTATGCAGAATAAGCATCTGACTGACTTTTTCCACATTCAGTTCTGATAGCTGGCATCATATTGACTCAGGCTAGGCCTCTTGATTCATGAAGCTGATTTCAGAGAGTTTATTGACACTAGTAAAACAGAGGCCAACATTACATAGATGAGATAAAGGCCAAAAATAATAAAGGCTAATGTTTAATATGAATTGGCTATATTTGGTCTGAAAAATGGGGAGAAGATAATGATTAGTAGGAATAGCATATACTAAGACAAACCAATCAGACACAGCTCATTATATTTCTTTCCTTGGGTGTTATGTTAAAGGTAATAATTATTATCTGGGAGTAAGAGTAAAATCATCATTTTATAAGGTAGAGAGGGAGATATATTGCTGCTTGTAACTAAATAGTACAGTCCAGCTTATGTTTCTTCTGCCTGTGTTTAGTAAGTATTTATAAAACAATACTCACTTCAGAGGACTCTTAGTATCAGGAAAAAACCCCACATATTTAAAAAGGATAATTGCCCATGACAAATATATGAGTAGACTACTGTGAAGCATTCTGAATGAATAAATATAGTAATCTGGGGCCTTTGTGCTGATTAAGAACAACAATGAAACTTATGGCCCACTATCAGTAAGCAAGAAGTTTTGAGTTTTCACCCATCCACCTAATGATCCTTAGTAATTAAGAAATTTATAGATGCGTAGCTGTTAGAAATGTTAGCTATGATGATACTATTTTGTCTGCACATGAATTTAAATTGCAACTTGAGCCTCAGCAATACCATGTGCTATACAGCTATTAATATAGCTGCGAAAACAAAAGCCAACCTGGACACCAGGACTTAATTATTCCCCAAAGTGTAAGAGAATAAACCACAAATTAGATGAACCAGACCTTGTCATAAGCTACATCCCAGAACAGAGATGATCAAGGAAAAATATATGTATAGTTGGGTGAGAAGGGTGAAGATATTAAGCCAAGGAAAAATGAAAGACTCATAGACACAGACTACCACTGGAAAGAAGGGTGGGGGAGGTAGAAGAAAGGGGAGGTAAAGGGAGGATAAATGGCGATAAAAGGAGATTTAACTTGGGGTAGTGAACACACAATATAATATGCAGGTGATGTATTGTGGGATTGTATACCTGAAACATGTATAATTTTATTAAGCAATATTGCCCTAATAAATTCATTAAAAAATAAAAGAGAAAGAAAAATTAAATTATTTTATATTTAAAGTAGTGGCCCAGTGCATGAAATTTGTGCACATTAAAAGGGAATTAATTAGAGGAAATATTTTAATATTGCTATTTGCCCTTTCTCTATAATAGAAGCATCAGAGATGAAAGAAAATTAGTAAAATGTATATGAAAATCTTCCTTCTGTCAGAGTCTTGGGCGCTCAGCGGGACCCAGAGTCAAGTCCCCGCCTACCCGCACGCACCTCGAAATTGTGTGATGACCCAGACCCAGCCTGCTCCACCCTTGTCAAGCCCCACTGGGCAGGGGGTGCAGCCTCAGGTCCATGGCCTGGCACCAGGCAGGGGGCACAGCCTCAGGTGCCCCATCAAACCCCACTGGGTGGGGGGTGCAGCCTCAGGGTCCCTGGTGCACCCTCAGGTCCCCTGACCTGGTGCCACGGCAGGGGGTGCGGCCTCAGGTCCTCCGACCTGGCACCAGGGTGGGGGGCATGGCCTGAGTTCCCCTGTCAAGCCCCGCCTGGCAGGGGACACAGCCTGAGGTCTCCTGTCAAGCCCTGCCAGGTGGGGGGTGTGGCCTGAGGTCCCCAGGCCTGGGCTGGGGCGGGGGGCACACTTTGAGGTCCCCTGTCAAGCCCCACCAGGCAGAGGGCGTGACCTGAGGTCCCCCGTCAAACCCTGTTGGGCGGGGGGCACGGTGTGAGATCCACCGTCAAGCCCTGCCAGGCAGGGACCATGGCCTGAGGTCCCCCGGCCAAACCCGGTGCCATGCAGCCTCAGGTCCCTGCTGATTGCTTGTTATGAGAACCCTGCCTCTGCTGTGTGTGCAGCCATTTTGTGTTACAGGAATCCTGCTTCTACTGTGGGAGCAGCCATCTTGTGATGGCATGACAGTGTGAGGGTTAATTTGCATATTACCTCTTTATTATATAGGAAAAGAGATCCTAAGACCAAATACTTTAAGAACTACTATCCTAGGCACTTATTCATGGCAGTTATTAAAGTTATAATCTGAACAATCAAATTTTATAGGCAGTATTTTTAGTTAAAAGAATGACTGACAAGACAAACTATGATTATTCAACTTTGGTATGTAGCCAGCATTTTATTTAAAATAAATAAAATAAACCTGTCTACTCAAAGAAAAACAACTAATGTTATTTGTTAGCAATAATAAAATTGAGCATTCAATGAAAACTAAAAATGTAAACTCCTATCTGTCACCATGCACTTTACAGCTTATCAACACTCAATAATGTTTATGATGAAAGTGATGGTGATACTAAGAAGTGCTGTGTGTTGATGTTGTATAATAAAACATAATGTGCAAACATTTGGGAAGATCTAGATAAACAGTGAACCAATATTTTTCAACTGAACAATACATAAAGTTACAATATCCTGCATGAATAAAACATCTATTGATAGTATATAAGAGACCAATAGATTTTAATGTTACCAAATATACAAAATTTAATTAATATGGTTTTAAATTCCACTTTTCCAGTGTTTGTGTATTATCAAAGAATATCTACAATTATCTGAAAAAGCTATAAAAATTCTCCCTTTCAAACTACCTTTATGTGAGAAACCAGCTTTTATTCATATACTTTTACCTAAACAACATATTTCTCAATAAAAATTGTTTCTTAGTTTTATTTTTAAATAAATTAATAAATATTTTAATTTTTGTTTTAATTTATAATACATTAAATATTGAATGTCACAAATCACATACACAAAAGTTTTTTGGGGTCTGCAATTTTTTAAGAGTATAAAAAGATCCTGAGCCCAAAACACTTAAGAACCACAGTTCTAGGCACTTATTAATGTCATAGCAACTAATATTGAGAAATTTACCTCATTTCCTTTAGGATTTGGTACGTATGGCTGCAATGGTTCTATTTGGGCTTCAGCCTGAATTGAATGAAATACTTCATCATTGTCTGATGATTCATCTTCTTTGTCCTTTTGAAATAAAAGGAAAATAATTATTTTAATTGCTGTTAACATGAAAATTATAGGAACAACTCCATCATCCTGATTCATAATATAAATTAATAATTTTCAAATATTAAAATTGATTTAAACCAGTAGTTTATACTAGTTTTTGGCTCTGGGTCTCTTTCAGAATCTAATGAATGCTACAGATTATCCATAGAAAACAGTATATAGACACACATATCTCCATATATATTCAGGAGGATTATTGACTGCTTTCAGCTCGCCTATTAGACCCAGATTAAGAATCTGTGGATTCGCAAGGGTATATGCATTCTTATCTTTATTGCACCATTACTCACAGTGACCAAGACAACCAAAGTGGCCTTTGATAGATGATTGGATAAAGAAGATGTGGTACATATATACAATGGAATACTATCGGTCATAAGAAAAGATGAAATATTGCAATTTGTGACAACATGGATGGGCCTTGATAATATTATGCTAAGCAAAGTAAGTAAAAATAAAGTTAAGAACCATATGATTTCACTCATATGTAGGATATAAAACTGAAACTCATAGACGCAGACAATAGTATGGTGGTTACCAGAGGGAAAGTTGTTGGGGGCTAGTAAAGGGTAAAGGGAACCAGATATATGGTAATGGAAGATGATATGACTGCACCGGTGGTGAGCACACAATGCAATATACAGATCATGTATCATAGAAATGTATACTTGAAATCTATATCATCCTATTAACCAATATCACCCCAATAAATTTAAAAATAATCTCTGGTCTAAAGCTTAACTCATAACCCCAAATTGTCATGTTTTGTATGCATTTATAACTATAAAGTGTGGTCTTCTTGTGCAACAGAAGTTCTGAAATACAGCAGTGCAAATATTTTTCCTTAACTGAGCCCTGGGAGTTTACAAAAGTTTCTGTTTCCCCATTTAAGACAGTCAATATTATTTCTTCTATTCAAATAGAGTAATAAAAATGTGTTTTCTTTGCTTCTGGTGAGCTGAAACATTTACATATGTCTCTGAGTGCTAATACATTTTCAGGTATTTCAAAAGACCTATGACTTTGACTACAGTATCAATAATGTGCACATAAAGATAGGCATGCCTGTACAAGATCATAGGGTCATGAGATTAGTAACTATCACCTATTATTTTTATTTTATTTTTAGATTGGTTTCTCCCATATATATTTAAAACATTATATTACAATAAATATGTGCATGGTATTAATACTAAAAGTTTTGCAAGGATGCATAAAAGTTTTTTTTCACAAATATGAAACCCATTAGATTCAGGGCTGATTGAGAATAGTCATGAGCATTTTATTTATTTTTGTTTTTTTTTTAATTTATCTTTAGTGTTGAAATTATTACAGATGTCCCCTTCCCCCCACCCCCCATTGACCCCTTCTAGCCCACTTCCACCCTTTGCCCCAGGCCTTCACCACACTATTGTCTGTGTCCATGGGTTATGCATATATGCATATAAATTCATTAGTTAATCTCTTCCCACCCCCCATCCCCCCTGCCTTCCCTGTGAGATTCAACAGTCTGTTCCATGCTTCTATGTCTCTAGATCTATTTAGTTCATCAGTTTATTTTGTTCTTTAGATTCCACACATGAATGCTATCATGTGATACTTGTCTTTAATTGGTCATTGCCCCAATTTCAGGACAAATATCACCATTCTGAACTCATATCTTCTTTTTACTATCTGGTTTCTTTTTCTTCCTATCTCCCATTTTGGGGGGATTATATTTACCCTTTTGGGTCTTTCTTCTCTTGCTACTTTTAATTTTTTTCATGTTAATTATGTCAGGGAAATAACATTTGTTAAATTGGCTCAATGGGCACAAACCAAAAGACTCCCTTAACCAGACATTCAGACAATGTTCATGTTTAATTACTATGTTAATTATTATTAGAATAATTGGGTGATGATACCAGGGTTTAATTTAGGAACCTCACAATGATTTCTTTTACATAAATACATGCTTTGAAGTATTAGAAAACAAATGATCTCCTAATATTGTTGACCTCATTAATTTGCTTATAAAGCTCACAAACCCTTCATTGTCAAATCAGATTTGTCACATTGAATTCATCAACTTTGGCCAATTATATCCTATATAATAAATAGGTAATATGCAAATTGATCCTCACACCCTTGCATAAGATGGCTGTCCCCATGTGGTCACAAGATGGCTGCCACAAGATGTCCAGCAGGGGAGGGCAGTTATGGGTGATCAGGTCAGCAGGGGAGGGCAGTTAGGGGTGACCAGGTTGGCAGGGGAGGGCATTTAGGGGTGACCAGGCCAGCAGGGGAGGGCAGTTGGGGCAACCAGGTCAGCAGGGGAGGGCAGTTAGGGG